TGGTCATCTCCTCCCCTTCATGGCAAACCACATTTGGGATTTTTGCCCACCCATATACACAAAAAAAACTGTTGGTGCCGTTGAATGCAACTGTGACTAATGAATACATGTGTGCACATATTTCCCATAAGAGTAAAACCATTTACCATTTATGCATCAGGATGCAATTCACCCTTCAGAAAAACGATGCGGTCCCAACGGGGTGGGAATCATGAAATAACTTGAGCAATAACTTGCATTTTCTCTGAAGGTTATTTCGGATAAATGTCGTGTTTACCAAGCTGCAACCAGAAGGTGGGGTCCACACCGTCACCCTGGCCCCCAAAGAAAGAGGTCACCTTTTTTTGCAATACATTAGTGCTAAATGAGAATGCATTCACACTGGCTAATATTACAGCCAGTTTTCAGAGGGGCATTTGTCTAAGGAAAGACTCAAAACCTGCTTGGTCAAAAAATGAACTGGCACGAACTAACCAACCAGCAGTTCATGCCCATCTCCAATACAATCTGAAAAGACCATGTTAAACTAGCACGCACTTATATCCCAAACATCTTGCATCCTACTAGTAGGCAATACTGCTCTCAAGGTTTCCAGCCAAGGTGGATGAGACCAAGGCTGTGAGCCTGGAAAGTTAGTTCTCAAGACCGGTGCTTTGCGGGATTCAGTCTTGGACTTAACTTGGGAATAAGCATTAGGCGTAACTTCCATTTCAAAAGATGTAGTATTTTTAGAGAAGCAACGTGTGAGTAAAACAGCAAAAGGCATGCAATGATTAAAGCTCGGTGGTGGAGCATTTGGTTGCACATCAAGAGGTCTCCGGTTCATATCTGGGTGTCTCCTACCTGTGTTTTGTTCAATTCCCCTCCATGATAGGGACTGGGCTTGATGGCTGATAGGGTCCCTTCCAGCCCTGCAGTTCTAAGATTATTGAACCTCTGGGTAGCTTAGTGGTTTCGGTAAGAGGTTGGGAGTTCAAATCCCCCCTGTGCCTCCTTAACAGGGACTGGACTCAATGATCCATAGGGTCCCTTCCAGTTTTGCCATTCTAAGATCATCATCATCATCATGATCATGAAAGGACAAGACCTGGAAAGAGTGCAGTGACCTAATCACACATGCACAGAGAAATCACATAACATGTGATCCAGATCTAAATTTGATCATTTGCTTCTCCAAATCTCATACTAGCCAGTAACTCTTGTATAAATAACTTGGGACTCCATTTGACTCACATCTGAACTTCTGGACAGATAGAAGTACAGCTTGAATGAACTGACCTCACTGTATAAACACATATAGCTATTGTCACTTCTGCTATGTCAGTAGCTCAAGGATTGCACATCCCATGTGGTCCATATGTTCCATCCCTACATGCAGACACGATATTGCTTCCCCACCTGGATACTACCTAACATCCTTGTAGTTCTCAAGGTCTCCTGTGAGCAGCCAAAGACCTTTCTCTTCAGGAAAGCTTTCTTTCCGGGACTGGCTGCCTTAATAGGGCTTTTAAATGGATGGTTGTGCCTTACTACTTTGAGTATGTTTTGGTGTTGCTTGTGTTTTTAGTACAGTATTCATTTGATCTTCTTTGGTATTTGTATTTTCGCTGTTGTTGGCTTTAATGATGTCTTTTTACAATGGAAGTTGTCCTGGACTTTCCCTGTAGGGAAATCGCCCCAGAGGGAGACCACAGCTGCGATACAAGGATATCTGCAAACGGGATTTGAAGGCCTTAGGAATGGACCTCAACAGATGGGAAACCCTGACCTCTGAGCGTTCAGCCTGGAGGCAGGTGGTGCATCATGGCCTCTCCCAATTTGAAAAGACTCTTGTCCAGCAGGCCGAAGCAAAGAGGCAGTCCTGAAATCAGCAAAATCAGGGAGCTGGACAGGGGACAGATTGTACTTGTCTTCAGTGTGGAAGGGACTGTCATGCTCAAACTGGCCTCCTCAGCCGTGCTAGACGCTGTTCCAAGTCCTCCATTCAGAGCACGTTACCATACATAATCTCTTGAGGCTGAAGAATGCCTACAATATGTTCTGGGCTCTTTTTAAGGAGAAGGGTGTGATGGATGGATGGATAGATAGACTCATTAGCACAATGAAATGTGTGCTGAAGAATAAAGTGAAGTTTCTGGTCCACTTTAACAATGGAGATTGAGAAACAGGAGTATAGTTGTTACAATTTATTACTGTAGGACAGTCAGTCAGTGTGGATCTCCTGTTGCTTCTTTTCTAATAGCTATTTTAAAAATTATTTGTCAAGAGACTCCATAAGGCACTTCACACTTTAGGCAAGAGAATGAAAGAGGATTAAGAGCTTTTATTCAAATCAGACCAGTGTCCGTTCAGAACCCAATCATGTTCTATAAGCAGCCAAATCTAGATGTATACATGCATAATATAGCACATACTCCGTTCCTCAGCATCCCTTCTACCTTACAACTGAGAGGATGAAAAGCAACACCATATATTTGGATGGAAATCTTAATAAAACATTCCTAATCAACAATGTTGTTCCTAACCTCCATTCATGTGCTCTCTAAGGAAACGCCTCCCTCAGAAGTAGAATTAGTGTGATGTAGTGGCAACAAATGCCTAAACCAACCAATACAGTATTGTTGGTCCTAATAAAGAAGGCCCAATGAATCAACAGAACTTCTATAAGCATTGACGTAAGTTCCCATTGATTCATGGAGGTGATCTAGTGGAGACTAATTGCATTTAAACTGAAGTGTCTGGTGGTTAAACTTTAAAGTTCAGCAAATATATTATACAAAAGACTTGTGTGGAACAGAAATCATGGCAACAGGTTCAACAATAGCCCTGTTTAGGTGTTAAGCCTGAAACCCACGTAGGGATGAAAGAGTGGTGTTGGATGGTGGAGGGACCAAGCACAAATCTGGATAGGCCCTGTGAACAAATACACACCAAAACAGGCCTCCAGTAGCTGCACAAGACGTCACGTTGAACACACAGGGTATGCACGAGGAGACATGGGGATAAGGGGAAAGGTCCTTGCCTGCCCCATCACCGAACTTTGAGCCTGAACCCCTCACAGAACTAACAACGGAATAAGAGTCATGGGTCAGGTCCATTTTGTGTTCAATTTATTGGTGAAACTTCTCAGAGTAAGGTCAGTAACTTTATTTTTCCAGGTATGGAAGGGACTCCCTTATCTTTCATTGCTTCACCATTTAACTTCATTTTCACTTCTAAAATGCAGCGATCAGAAGTACATAGTAAACACTCAAGTTGGAAGATGTATCATGAGTCAGATTGCTCACTTGATGCAGTGCCAGCTACTTAATTCTGGTTTTTTTATTTCTATTTTTTTTGTTTGTTTTTGAAAGTAAGCTGCTATTACATGAAAGAGAGCCAAATTGCCGAGAGCATGCTTACAACACAAGCAGAATTTGGTAGCAATTTGATAATAAATTCTAAAAGCCAGTTAGGCTGTTAGTGGTTACAGCATTTAATTTTTTGGGGGGGGGGAGAGAATGGGATGGTTTTTTGCAGCTCTATATTACAACGTCCAGTGTCTCCTTCCCATGATAGTATCACCCAATGGTGTTTGAAGATACAGAAGCACATAGATGTGAATAGGTTTTCCTTAACTAAACATATCCATCTGTTGCCGGTTCTTTCAAGACGTTTTGTTTATCTGGTGACCTCTCATAGGCTTTGCTCACTGGTTATGATCAATGGAAGTTTAGTCATCATTCATCAGAGTAGAATAGGATGAGAGAGCCTGGAGTTCAAACCACTGTCAACCACCATTTTTCTTAGGTGAGCATCCACTATTTCTCAGTCTATGCTGCCACGCTGTACCACGTCCAGCTAGAAAGATACATTATTGTGAGGGGGAAAAGTGGGTCTAATATCCTGGATTGCAGACACACAGATACTCAACAGAAAGTCCTAGTACCCTAAATAACAGCTGACTAGGCTAGACTGAAAGTCTTGCCCAGTATTACCTTGCAGGTTTTTCTTTATGAATAAAAGGAAATAACAACATATATGTTCTTGGAGGAAGGGTGAGATTTAAAAAGAAAAAAAAGAGAAAAATGCACAGTAGGATCTCCCTATCCGCAGGATCAGTATCCGCATCAGGTGAGATTTAAAAAGAAAAAAAAGAGAAATGCACAGTAGGATTTCCCTATCCGCAGGATCAGTATCCACTGATTCACTGATCAGGAGGGACCACATCAACCAAGCAAAATGAAGCAGACACTTCAGGAGGCAGAGAAACAGGGATGCTGGCAAGCCTTGGGACACGAGTCCTAAGTCTTCAGACCCGAATCCTGAGCCCAAAGCCTTGGGTCCAAATCTCAAGTCCTTTTGTCCCACCCCACAAGGGTTCAGGACTCAGACCCAAAGATTCAGACTGTGCAGGAGCTGCCCAGCTGATAGACGAGCACACGCACAGAGACAGAAGGCTGTCTTCCCTTCCTGGAGCTGACCCCACTGTCTTTGCGCATGCACAGAGATATGGCAGCAGGATTTGTTTCATCATCTTCCTTTCGGTGAGACAAATGCTCCAGCTGGCCTCAGAAATGGGCTAGAACACAAAGATCTCATCACGCAACTACGCGGGTTTTAAAACAAGACATGGATGTTGGCATATTTACCTTTGAGATTTTTATAAAGTGTATGAAAAATGACATCGTAGGATGTCCTCTATTGAGCGTGAATAAATAAACACCATCGTGAAATATGTTATGCAATAAAAACATCAGTATCTTTACAATTTCAGGATGAATGAACTATTACTCCAGTAAGAAAAAAAAAAGCCCAGCCCAAAAAGGAACCAAGTCATGGAAGAAAGGGGAAAAAGAATAGGATACAGCGGGATGCTAAGCTTGCTTCAATGGTCAGTTTTAAATAATACCAATCATTCTTTAGGTTCTTGTTTGGGAGGGGAGGGGCTTATAGTCAGGGCTTGCAGTGGAGGTACATAATCAGCCCTTCTATGGAAAATGAAAAGAGCACAGTCCATATTATAGAAATATACACCAATAATGGAACACATCCAATCCTTTATCACAGAAGGATCATATTGTTAAAGGGGCTCTTCTAAATCAACACACAGCCCTAGATATTCTATACCTAAATGTCTTAATTCTATACCTAACGCATACCCAACAGACAGCTACTCACCTTTTACATTTTTTTTTAAGCAACTTCAAGTATGGGGATGTCGTACATACGTTAAAAATATAACAGGTTTTCACCTTCACCATCACCACCCCCCAACAGCCTTACAATGAAGTAACTCCCAAGCCCAATCAATTCTATAGTTCTAACGATGGTTTTCATACTACATTTGAAGTGTGGGTTCATGGCTGACTCTCTTTGTATACTTTCTTCAACTGCCTGCCACCAGTCAGGTCTAGGGCTAACATTTTAGCAATTCACTCTGGCAGAGCCTTTCTTTCTGTTGACCTCGTCTTGTTACACCCATGAGTTAAGTGAATGGAGTCCACTGGTAAGAGTGACCAAATCGCACGACTAAACCACATCAATTTAATCTCTCTTTTTCTCTTCTCTTTACAGCAGGGCCCAATAACAAAAATACTAAACACTGACTATTTTTTTCTTCTTCTTGAGTTTTTAAATTTACAACTTGAACAGTGTCTGTGGTCCCCTTAGCCGTTTTTTTTTTTTAATCAACTGGGTAAAAGCTATACATTATTTAAAAGTATTAACATAATCCAACAAAGCTCTGGAAATAATTGTGTACAGAAATTGGTAACTGTTCTGATGTATTCCAGGACTTTGCTTCAACGAACCATCCTCAGTTCCCGCAAAAAGCGTTATGAATCCATCCAAACCTGTGGACTTTTTTCTCATTTCCTCGGCAGAATTCAAGTAGTGCAGGTGGAATTTGTATATGCCTTTTAAATCACGGACCAGGGAAGTGCAGAGTCACCTAATGGATGTTTTTTCCCCTGCTCCATTTCAGCTAAATGCCCCAGTGGACCTACAAGTCTGTTGACGTCAGCTTTTTCATGCTGCGCCGCTGAGCTAAGCTTGAAGCTGCAACAGGCTCCAAGACAGGCTGAAAAGTCTTGTTATTCAGTGCAGAATATGTGGCAGCCATTGCTCCCTAGAAAATGAGGAAGCAAAAAAAAGAAATAATTGCATCCTGTTCCTCAGGAATAACATGCCAGAACAATTTTAATACCACCTAAATTATCTTCAGTTGTGATAAGATAAAGTCTGCCCGATAGCGTTCTGCTTTCCATCAACTAATCAGCTTATGTGTTCCAACATGATAGATAAAGGCTGGAGTTCACTGCGGACAACTATACTGTCTAAGATGGAGGACTAAAACTTTCCGATTCTCTGCTCCTGTCCAAGGGCTACCCTCGGTAAAATCCAGGGAACGGGACTTGTGTGGTGGGACTCACTGTCAAGTTGGACTTAAGTCACACCAGTGACTCGATTCAGACTCAAATCAGGTTCCCCCCCCAATGATTTGAACATGACTCAGAACCCACCCCTCCCTTTCTTACGGGGGGAAAAAACTTGGTTTTAACAAGGAGTCGGACATGGGGCTTGGGACTTGGTGCCAAAGACTCAGATCCAAAGATCTGCCACCATCCCTGCTAAAATCCATTCCATCTAAATAGAAAATGCAGAGTATAAGAAGTTAAAATTAAGCACCCTCCACCGCTTCCTACTTAAAATTCTGTTTAATGGAGAGATACCAATCTTGAAATCTGTACACTTTTTTTGTACCTTTTTTTCTTGTGGTGTGAGGCAGGCTGGTCCAATAAAGGCCACCGTTCTAGTATAGATTATGCGGTAATAACACAGCTCATCTTACAAGTACTGAGAGATTAGTTGGTGCCATTTTTACCTTTACCAGATGAGGTGCATCTTGCCTGTTCAACTGGTAATGCGGCAGCTGGTCCCTACAGGCTATCCACGAATGCTTAAGAACTTGTTCCGCAGTGTATCTTTGATGTGGATCGACATGGAGCATATGAGAGAGCAAATCCTGGAGGAAAGGAGATGAAACAAATCCAACGGTTACCACAGTATCTCAGGAAGGCAGGAGGGTTTCACTTTTCTGGTCTCGCCGTTCATACTATGACAAGTGGTATTTCCAATCACTGCTATCCAAAATCATAGCAAACAATACATGGAGTATCATCAGATCTCATGCCAGCGAGCCTGCTCCTTGACTTGAAAAAAGGGCGCCTGTTTAAATAAAGGACAGACCGCTTCCGTCCAGAGGCCCCACGTCAGAGGGAGATAAATATATACTGGCAAAGTCAACACAGTACTTCCTTTCACTAATGATAATTGTGAAGCACTGGGTGTGCCCTGGCCCATATACAGCTTTGCATTTTGCTGACTGAAAACTAAACACACATTTCAGAAAAGTAACAGAGCATGTTAGGAAATGTCTCCCCCCTCTCTCCCAATAACCTAGTTCCATGTTGTACCCACTTACGTTTGGTGCAGATGTCAGATTCTAACATGGTTGGCAGTACACTGTATCTGCGCCAAGAGTTAATCACAGTTCACCACGATTTTCTTGGTGCTTGAATCTGTTTTTTTTTAAAGGAACCAAATGCTTTTGCCGCCTCTGATTAATATTAAGTATTGCTTTTAAGAGATATCTATCAAATATTAGCACGGAAAGACTTTAAAACAGTTAAGCTACTCTGAATTTTGGACAGCGCTGAAAGTGTTATTCTGCTGTATACCCTGTATTTATTTATATATTGTTTGACTTAGACGCCCCCCTGTATTTTATACTTGGTAAGATAAAACACGTTTACACCTTTGCTGCATCTGAAACAGTATCCCAGTTGCCTCCGCTTAAAGAAAATTTCCCGCTGCCTATTCGTAACAGGATTTCCTCAGGTGTGTCATTGGGCCCGTTGGCAAAAGGAGTATACCTAGGTTTCAGTACAAGAAAAAAAGAGGTACAATAAATCACCTTCTATTACATTCATGTTACACCAGTGCTGTTGTTCCAGCACGTTTTAATCCTTAAAAAAACCCCAACAAAATTGAAGTGTTCTTCACTGTTAATTACAAGGTGCCACATTTCTTCCAAAATGAAAGAATATGTTAATGCTAAGAAGTAAGAAGAGTCAGGGTTGGGAATATAATATAGAATGCTATGAATAAATGAGAGGTGCTTCTTACCCAGCCAGCATGGTATAAAGGAGGACACCCAAACTCCAAATATCACAAGCAGCATCGTATCCCTGTCTCATAAGAACCTGCAAAATAGATAGCCAAGGTTATAGTTGACTGTCTCACGGACCATCGGTCAAAAGTCCTAAGTAAAAAGTTCTTTCTTTATTCGTATCAGTGTTGCACAATTGAAATTATGAACCTATATGAAATCTATGTAAAAATAAAAATAAATTAAAATAAAAAGATGCTTTGTGTATGTGCTTCAGCTCCAACCTGCGAAGAGTGTGCATTCTTCTTAACAGATTTATTTTGTAAAGCTCTGTCAACTTTACTGAATTATAATGACTATGTACCAATGCATTAACTATGCCATTGCAAGGCAGATAACAAACTATTTATTATACTTCTTCCTTGAATTGGATAGGTTTGAACAGCACAGTTTTGATTATAAATGATTTTTTAAAAATAAATAAATATTTCACTAAATAAATAAATATTCGATAACTACTCTGCTGCTATTTGTGTCCAGAAAATGCCTTGAGAAAGGTGGGTCTCAGATTTACCAAGACCCTGTTGTTGGTGGTCAGGTCTGATGGATGTGGTGGGCTGCCCATCTCTCTTGGCATGGCGACTCCACATACCAGCCAGGGAGGGTGTTAGGGGATGCCAGGAGGCTGGTGTGGGTCAGGGAGTGTCATAGTGGTGTGCTGCCCTTTGCGGGCGGAGGAAGGGGAGGGATTGTGCCTCTGTTTTCCCACTCTGGTAGAGTCCTTTTTTGTCCTTTAGCTGCCACTGTATGTGTACGCGCAAATGTTGGCATGTGTGTGTTATGAATCAACTCTCCCTAAGCCCAGTGTTGTTGACGGGAGAAGTGTACTTCTGTTAGACAGTACAACAAGCAAATAGATCCTACAGCATAACTACTCCTAAGGTGTCAACACGTGAGTGCAATGCTATGTACGTAAGAATTTGCCTACCTCCGGTGCCACAAAGTTGGCCGTGTAGCATGGAGTTAAGAGAAGCCCATTCTCCCCTCGCAGTTGTTTTGCAAAACCAAAATCACAAATCCTAATGGAGTCAGCATTATTAGAGTCATCCATATATAAAATATTGCTTGGCTTGAGGTCTCGATGCACCACCTTTAAAAAAACAGACACATAGAACACAAATGCCACGGTGCTTAGACTGAAGCATGAAAGAATTTGTGCCTGATTCAAAAAGTTTTTTTTTAAAGGCACTTCAGACAAAGAGCTGTGAAACATGCCAATGGCCCCAATATGGGTGGATTTAAATGCAATCTAAAAACCAGGAACAGGTTGCTGATTCAAACTGTTCAGTAAAGAACCTTTCTTTACGACTGATGCTTTGTACACATTTGTAATACTAGCAGCAAATTGTCAGCAGATAAATAGTGTTGCACTTACAGATTTCAAAGTACTCTGTATAACTCTGACCCCCTCAGTTACTTAAGTAAACTCTTAAATGCATGAATTCCACTGAGCCTTGGTTAAGATACACTGTCGTTTAAGCTACTCCACAGACACAATGTGCTTCCTAGAATCTTATATGCAGTACATTAGAACAGAATTATTTCACAACATGGAAAACTATTAGGATATGCACAACTTACTCCTTGACAATGAAGGTAGTCAACCGTTTTGGTGATAGTATATAACACCGCACTTGCTTCCCGTTCTGAGAAATACTTCTGTCTGAGAATACGATCCAGCAGCTCCCCTCCCTTCATCAGTTCTGTGACAAGGTAGATATATTTACCATCATCGTATACCTGTTGAAGTTTAATACAGTTGAGTAACACACATTTTAAGCAGCTTGAAAAATGTATATGAATCACAGAGTCCATTGAGGTATATACTAAAGAGAGACAGGGACTGCGGATTCTCAGGAGTATATTCTAGGAGTTTCTCTTGCTTTCTTTTAAATACATTTACCAGTGGTTGCATGTGAGTAGAATCTTGGTTCACAGAATGAAAAGGCTGTTGTTATTCATGTAAAGCAAGTAGTAGTAGGATTCAGAGCTTTACTCTTTCAACCAGGATGTTCATTTGAACATTGTATCTGCAGTTTTCTCCAAGTTGTTTCAGATAGGTTCATTCATCTTTTCTTTCGTTTCGATTTTTTTTTCTTATACATTACAGCTCATCCCAAGCGAGCCAAATGGAGATTAAAAGGCACATCTAGCTCGTCCACATCCTTCCCTTTCATTACATCTATGACTATTTACAAGCAGCTACCTCTGTCACCCATCAATTAATGCTGGGCAGACAGCAACAATGTATTATCAAGGAACGGAGTTGAGATTATACTGCACAATATTCAAAAAGGATTGATATAGATTTCTCAATGCAATTCTGCGTGCAAATCTTGGCCTTAGTCAGCTGAATAACTTCTGCAAAAACACAGCGATTTGTCACTGAACCCAGCAAGGACTGGGTTATGGCAATGGCCTTTTAATAAAATACACAGAATACTCAATATTTTCTCATCAGTTACCAAAGAAGTTTACCTCGACTATATTCTAGTGGAGGAAAAAAAATAGTACTCGTAGAACTTAAGTTTCATTGTCTCTGTGTTTACAGACAATAGAGTATAATATAAATCAGACATAATACATACATCTTTTAAAGTAATAATGTTAGGGTGCTGTCCATAACGCATCAAAATTTCAATTTCTTCAGAGGGATCTCTCTTACTTTTGTCAATTATCTAGAAAAGATAGCATTAATATTAAATTCAACACTTTACTAAAAGGCAATAATGAATTACAATTTCTCTTGCCACCAAAGGCTAACGCCAAGTGTAGTCTTAGGCAAACTGCTCCACTACAAGAGGAGGGAGGTTATTTATCTTATACTACTGAGTCTCACTTGTTATAACCTTGTGGTACATGGTTGAAGCAAAGCTGAAATGCCATCAAGAATGATAGACCATAAACACTTGAGGGAAAGCTATTTAAAGGTCTATAGTTGCTGGATTTTTCCCCCTAGTTAATTCTGGCAATGAATTCTTTTTTAAAAAAAAAACAAGAGTAGGGCACTAGATGGGTGGGATATAAATGTAATGAATAAAATAAATAAATAAAAACTCATTAAGTGAAACGTGTTGTCTGAAAAGTTGATAAATCTTTTCTACAAGAACTTCAAGAGCTTGGTTGTAAAATCCACTTCACATTATTGCTGCTTCTGCCCTCAACCGTTATCTAAATATATAATCTTACAACTCATACACCTGAGTTGTATTTGTAACTCATGGTAATTAGGTGGTTGCTGGCTGGCTGGCTCAGTGACTCATAGCACTTGGCTGTAGAGTCAGGGCCCGGTGTATATGTGTGTGTGTGTGCGGGGGGCTAATTCCCCAATGTGCCTTATAGAAGAGCCCAACCTGTGTGGCTTTGGGCCAGCTGCAAGGTCCCAGAGCACTCCCCATCAAAAATGGACAACCACTTCTGAGTAGCCTCTACCCTGAAAATCCTGGCAAAGGTTGCCATAAGTGGAGGAATCAATTCGATGGCATGTGATGAATTATTAATTATATAATGGCCTGCAAAGGAGAAAGCTAGTGGGCAGAATCTGAGCACCACCTAGTTAAACGCTATCTTCCTGATAGAATCTTATGATGCCCCCATCTACTTATTTCAGTTTATAACCTATTTTTATCCTCAAGGGCTTAGAGGCCTGACAACTTTTAAACAATTCTGTGGTAGAAGTGTTTGTGGTTTTTGTGTGTGTGCAGAAGACAAGTAAGGGACATTAAATGCCCCAGAAGCCAATTATCCAAATAATCTAAAGAACTTCAGAATAACATCAAAAATTTCATAGGTCACTGACTGCTCCTTCAGCTGCATCAAGGCAACCTCACCATAGATATGTAAGGAGACACTGTACTTTACTGCAAGGTCCCTCGTAAAATAATTGTCAAAAAAAGGCGGTTTTAGCAAAAGTAAAGTGTCAGGGTGTGGTTTAATTAAATGTTATTTCCTAAAATGACAGCATAAATCTAACAAAAAGAATTCAGGTCCTAAATCTTTGATATGACTTAGAGAAAAAGAAGATCTACATATTTTATAGAATGTAGTAAATTCAATGTAAACCAGGCAGTCACAAAATTAAAAATGAGAATTTTAATCTAACAATTTTTAAAAAGTTAAAAAACTGAAAATAATAAAATTGAAAAAAATTGTAAAGCCAGAAGAGCCATCATGATGCTCTTTAGCAGAAGACGGGAAAAATTAAATTCCTAGATATTTACTGGCAGCACCTATGGAAAAAAGGGATATCATGCATACCTTTACAGCAAATTCCATGTTTGAAGCTATGTGAATACAGCGCTTGCAGACTGAATAAGAGCCAACGCCAATGTCCTCTTTCAGTTCGTAGGCATCTGTGAATAGTGCGCTGTTCCCATGAAGTTGCTAAAAACAAATGTAGGCTGTCAGTTCAACTGCTTGATACTATTAATATATACAGTTCTTCACAGTGTTTCGTAAGAGTAAAAGATTCAGCAGCTTCAAAAACTTCTTGGGTTGAATCCAGATTTATTCAGAGAAGAATGAGATCAAAGGGACTGAAATTATTCATGAGTAGAGATGACCACAAACCCCCAGTTCAGCCGCTTGTGTCGGTTCGTCCTTTGGATGAACAGGTGTTTGTGGCTTTCCAGCCCCGCCTCCTCCGACAGGTGCCATTCAGAGGCAGCACCCAGAGAAGGTGGGGCAGGGACGCTGGGGCACAGCCACGGAGTGGGCACCGCCACGGAGTGGGCACCCATCAGAGGTGGAGTAGTTAGGAAGCACCAAACACCTCTTGAACCAGGACAAACCTCTGAACCGGCGGTTCGTGTCCATCTCTGCTATAATCTGATGGGCAGTTCTTGCCCATCTCGGCGGTTCGTGCCCATCTCTGCAATATTTATGCCACATAATGTACCAAATTTCTTTTATAATTTTTAATAAAATACTACAGCAGTGTGCCCCAAGTGGGAGAAAAGTGGGAACAACGAGAAACAAGGCCAGAACTTGATTGATCAAAATTAACTACCAAAACTTTTGATAGCCACTAAGATAAACGAAGGTCAGCCCAAGTTTTGGTTCCTTGTATCCATGGCAGTCACTCAGCCCAAAAATGTTCTTTATATTATTATATATTGACTGTTTCTATCTCGTCTGTTGTGAGCCACCCAGAGTAGACAATGTCTAGATGGGTAGCATATAAGTGTAATAAAAAAATAAAAATATATTCTGGGTCACACAGTAGCATCCATGTTTCTCTCCCCTGCACGTACAAGACTCTGGGTGTGTTCACTTATCATGCTACAGTTTAGTGTCATGTGAACATGCAAGAACAAGCCTCAACCACAAGGGAGGAGGTATTCAGAAGCTTTGCCACATACATTGTTTCCAACACATCCTGCAGCAAGAGCAGAGTATGTGAGCCTGAGGTTCATGAGGTGCTCCATGGAAACTCAACTGCCTGCTTCTGTTACGCGTGGAGAGAAGCATGCATTCACCCCTCTATCCAGGAATAACCACGATTAGCTGGCAAATGCACAAACCGGGGTTTAAAATCTCGAGTCAACAACTATATTTATCTCTTAATTTGGTAAAGGTGTAATGTTTACAAAAAAGCTGAGCTTTTCAAAAGCAACATTTCTGTAGCAGGAAATTAATATTAACGTTACTCTTAACAAAACCGAAGTTTCTTGTTTCAATAGCTGTATGTTCATGCAGAAACAAGGGTGAATGTTGGATTTTTTTACCTGTACTATTGGCAATATATTGTTGAGAGGGGAGATTCGGTGGTCTTCAATTACAGTAGTTGCAACAAAGCTAAAGCCTTTGAAGAGCTGGTGTGCGTTAGCACTCGGCGGAACGCCTGGAGAATCTAAGGGTGAAATGCAGACTAAGTCAGGTAATTCTTGATACATGTTGTATAATATATTTCATTGACTACACACATATAAAATGTTCCTCTATTTGAAAAATACTGTCAAGCTATTTCAGGGAATACTATTTTTGGTATCTGACAGAACTGTAAGCCCTATAAACTCTACAAAGGCATAAGGATAATGGAATGGTCCTCTTTCTGTCATTTGTTCTCAACTTAATTAGCTTGGGGAGCTCTCGCTTAGAATACACAATGAAATAATACTGGATTTTAAAAAACTGTTCTTAAAACATCTAAAAATGGAAGTAAGGAGATGGTATCTACAGATATTCTCAATAAAGACTGATAGATGGGACAAATGTAAATGAGTATCAACAGATTACAATCTGTTCCAAATTTTAACAGGATGATTAAAAGGTAAATAAGGAGTAAGGGACAGAATACATGAATGTATTTTCAACAAATGTTACCTTTTGGTGTTTTTGCTGTGAATTCTGGGTCAAAACAAAATGTGTCTTCTGGCCTTCCAGAAGCAGGTTTAAATGGGGGCTGGATTTCTCTTCTGTATAGTTTCTGGAATCAGAATGATAAAATATTTACTTTCCAACAAGCACCAGGGTTGCACCTAAACCTATCCCTGTGCTTATGGGAAATTCTTTGCTTTCACAGATGCATCTCTGCTCAGAGAAGGTGCTGATCTTTATCAGTTCCCCAAGGGGTGGCTTTGGAAAATGTAGCACAATCGGAACAGGGAGATCAACCCAACCTATTCCCCTACGTTCTTCTTTTTACAGAAGTGTCTGCTGGACCGAAGAACTTTCTGGGGGTGGAGAGACACAACTGGATATGATCCCATGGATTAAGCATAGAAGGAGAGTGGAACTCTGTATCAGAGGTCCTGAAACTGATACTAGCCAGTCTTGTTTGTTTGTGATAGTTAATTGCTCTATGGCAATTTTATTTTTTGATTCTTTTTAACCTTTGTAGTACATCATCCAGAGTAGTGATTGCTGGGAGGGAGGGAGGGAGGGAGGGAGGGAAGGAAGGAAGGAAGGAAGGAAGGAAG